TCCGAGCCCTGCATATTACATTTTTGGGTCATATTTTAGGTCATTTTTCTGGATTTTTCGGTCATTTTTAAAATATTTTCAGGTCATCAAAATCCAGGCCCTGGTTATGAGTGCGTTAAAGCCGGCGGTGCATACAGTAACCACAGGGCATTAAAGGGGTTTCAGAAACCTATTCGTGCTTGTTCCTGCCCTCTCAGGGAACACGGACCTCGGGGGAAACATTTGAGAGAACGTAGCCCGTAGAGTTCATTGAAATTCTTCTGTAACTCGAGGGTTCGGGCGATGTTCACCTATACGGCTTAACGTCATGGAAGGCAAATAGGGAGGGGAAGAAACGACGATAAGGAAACAGACGTGAAGAGTTAATTAAGTACACTTAGAACTCAACACCTACTCAGCATAGATTATTAATTGCACGAGGTGTTCAGGCGATGTACTTAATTTAAGGACGTGGAACTCTGACAGACGTTTTGAATGGCTTGTGGGTGATAAAGTGCGTGGAGTATAAGGCGTGGAACAAGAAACGGGCAGGAGAGGCCATGGGCGCAGCTCAGAGTTCAAAACTCTACATCTGAAGTGGCTCTCTGCTTTGAAGTAAGCGCCATCTGTACAGGCGTTTGTGGGAAACAAGGTCAAAGAGGTCACATTCATATCCAATCAACGCCTCCAACGTTCTGCGCATCCTCCCCTGCGCGGCACACACAACTTCACACAAAACTTGACAATACAGGTACACACACATGAATTATAGCTGATGTTTCTATTAATAACACTGATTTAAAATATTAGATTGAGGTTTTCAAAACAGTGATTAGGAAGGATACCCGGAAGTGACGCCGTGTAGACCAGTACAAACTCACCAACGTTTCGGACGAAAGTACCGCTTCCATTTTCAAAGTCTAAGACGCACATTACCTGCAAGAAGGAAGGTAACCTTTTGCTGCTTCATTCTTCCTGGTTGCTTGACTCATTATTTACCCTGATGATGTAAGCAGTATTCTCGACCGAAATGTCGGTGAATTTCGCGTCGTCACATGCCTGAAGATTGCTTAAACTGAACAATTAAAAATTCACTGCCCTACAACTAAGCTGCCGAAGTGGACGGCGCCATACTGTTGGAGACTGTAATGCTTACAAATGTTGAGGCTACCTCACGAAGTAACAACATGCATCTCTATTATAAACACCGGTCGCTTAGTCAGTCGCTCAGTCGGTACAGCCATGAGCTCGAAGACCGGGGGTTGACCCCTGGCCTCGAAAAGCAATTTTTCTCTAGTCCAAAGCGTTCAGACCGGCTCTGGAGCCCACTCAGACTCTAATTCAACTGGTACCGCGGCTCTTTCCACAGGGGATTGAGCTGCCGAGGCGTGAAGCTTCCCACTCACCTCCATATAATGCCGAGGAAAAGAATGTTGGAGCTATACCTCCACTCCCCCGTGTGCCTCATGGCGTTGTGTTTAATTAATTGAAAACAGGGACAACTTTACCTTATGGTATGAAACTAACGAACTGCCTGGAAAAATGCGAAGTTATTTAGTGACAAAGCAAAATTTTGTATACAGAATGTCCCAGGAGGAAGGGTCAATATTCTGAGAGGTCACAGTATCGGTCATTCTAAATAAAAATGTGTACTTGTATATGTGTCCTACTCCGAGCGGATTCCAAGATTGAGCTATTTCACTATACAGCTGCAAAGTCGTTGATAAGAAAGATATACTACGTACTGTTTCTAATACCGGTATTTCTTGTTCAAGTGACAAAGTTGATACAGTTTACCTAGTACAATACATTTTCGAAAATTCCACCTTCAACATCAATGCACTTTGCAACTCGTGTGAGAACATAACGTGTTGCTCGTCTGTACAGTGTACAGTGCACTGCACAGTGAAATAGCCCTATCTCGGAAACCGTTCGAAATAGGACACATATACACTTTCTTTTTGCTTAGAATGACCGACACTATTACCTCCCAGAATTCTTTGACCTTTCCTCCTGGGATACCCTGTATATCATTAACCACTGCGCTATCCGGTGAAAGATGTTACCATTTCGGGTAGGTAGTGAGTCATCAAATATTCTGGAAATGAATTTGAAGGCCGCACTCTGTTGCGGTCGCGGACAGCACATCCCATCGCACTCACAGCCATGAGAACAGTGGCGTGGGAGAACAGGTTCACGCCGCCAAATGCCAGGGAGGGGCAAATATCCCCAGTATTCACACACGCGTGGTCATTGCTGTCAGAGACGGGCCAGTCTGCCCAGCCAGGATAGCGCAGTCGGTTTAGCGACTGGCTACGGAGTTCAAGTTCCGGGGGGGTCGACAATTTTCTCTTCTCCACGTCGTCCAGATCGGCTTTGGGGTGCACCCAACCTCCTAACCGGGGGGTTAGGGTACCGGGGGCTCCTTCATCGGAGATAAAGCGACCGGGGCGTATAACTGACCACTCACCTCCAGCTAGTGACGAGGTCAAGAAAATGTGGATTTATGCATACACTCCCCCACACGTCTTCATGGAATAATGCTTAATTAGTTAAGCACAGGGACAACTTTACCTTTACCTTCACCTTCACCCCTTCCCAGCCGTGTGCCGTGTACAATATTTTCACGTTTATTGCGGTTGTATTTTGGGCGTGGTGAGTTAAATCCCGGTGGGGCGGTTAGAACCCTTGCTTCGTAACTAACGGGTATGGTTTGAAATTTCGGAACTGAGATCAGATATTCTTCNTGTCACACGAAATAATTAAATCAAAATGAAAATAAATCGAAACTGTTTATATTCGGCGGTAGCTATCCCAAGACTGACTCCTCCTGTATCCCTCTCTTCTGTATCCCTCGGCATCTGCCCCGAGACTGATTGCTTCTTGTCCAAGCTGGACTATTTATACCTCGGCGGATGCTATACAATGAGCCTTCTGTTGTATATCACCGGGGAAACGCTGCCAGAGTCGAATCCAAAACTCTGAATCCAAACTCAGGATCTGTGCTGTGATTTCACTCGGAATCTCTTGTGATACTTGTGACCTCGTGATACTCAAGACACTCGTGATACTGAACAGTCGCCGGAGCTACACTCTCTTATACATATAGCCAGCGTTCGGATGGGATAGGGAATACCTTATCGAAGAGTTAGCTTCATCTGTTGCTTAGGAAATGCTAACACAGAACACCTTGTAGAAGTGTTTGGTTTCATCCGTTGTTACGCAACGGAACCTCTTATCCTCTCATCTCCGGGGAAACGCGTTTGTTGTTTCGGCAATTCCTATGCAACGGCCCACTGTTATTGCGTTTCCATGGAACTATACTTTCCTGTTTCATCCGTTGTTACGCAACGGAACCTTTTATCGTCTCATCTCCGGGAAAACGCGTTTGTTGTTTCGGCAATTCCTATGCAACTGTTATTGCGTTTCCATGGAAGTATACTTTCCGGATTCACGTGTGGCCGGGTACAGCTAGTAGGTATATAAAAACACGCGCGTATTCGAATGCAACGTTGTGTCAAAATTTCGAAGCAATCGGTGAAGAACTTTAGGAGATTTTCGAGGGCTAACAAACGAACATTTATATTTTTATATATATAGATATACCTAGGCTCCTTGGCAGTAAATTCCATTACACGCAGAAACTCAATACACTTCTCCAGGTTTCCCTGCAAACGACCACTGATGTGGATAAAGTGAATTTTTATTGTGGAAAATAATTACTGTAAATACAAAAAAGGCCTTTGCAATTCCCATCTGGCTTTCTGTAGCACATCCTTATGAACATCTTGTTCTATCTTAGCGGTCGCCCGGCGATTCTTAATATAGATCTTAACTCAAATGTGAGAGTACTAATGCCTTTTAACACGCTTGCCGAGTGTGAGAAAATCATGAAGTTTTGCTCCGAGTCTATCTTTCCAATGATCTCTAATGTTTCGGAAATTGCTAATGCTTCCCCCGTGAATGTGGACGCTATCTTAGATATCCTGAATGTCATGCTACGGCCATCTTTTATATCTACTGATGCGAATCCTACGAATGTTTTGTCCTCCATGGCGAAATATCTGCTGGTTCTCATTCTTTCTTGGAAAATATTTTTGAATTCCTCGTGATCTTCGTCTGCTTCCTTTATTTGTCTGCCCTCATGGAAAGATACCCTGGCCTCGTAGAAGAGGCTTCCGTATGTGTAGTCGAAGGCCGGGAACAGTTCCCTGATTGGATTAAATGATCGAGAGGGGTTGTAATATCGCTGATGAGTGGTTGTTCATTCTCTCCACTCCCCGGATCGTCAAATAGAGCTGATAATTCTTCCAGCAGCTGGATCACTGGATGATTGCTTGACGTATAACACCTGGACACATAGCTCCTTCCCAACCTTCTTTGGCTTCTGCTAACATTGCATTGGTCGGGGTGCTACTCCTGCAGCCCAGTGCTCCGCGTATTGCACTATACTGTATCTTCTCAATCTTCTGTGCTTCTTTCTTCTTAAGTTTATGGAAGAAAAATGCTCCACATTCCATCCTCGACCTTATAAGTGCCTTGTAGAGTCTCATTAAAATTACGGGGTCCGCTCCCCACCAAGTGTGCTTCTCACAGGTCACGATTTCCATCGGCTTTCGCATTTCCTAACTATTGCGTTTATTTCGTTCTCCATTTTTTAAACGCAAACCTAAAAATCTAACTGATTTGACCGAAGAAACCTTTTCCCCTTGTACCGTGAAAGGTTGTTACTTCCTTGGTGTCATCTATTGATGAAATGTTGTACTAAGCCATTACCATGCAGCCGATCTCATCGGCTCAGCTAGCAGAGCCGATCTAACCGGCTCGCAAAATACGAGAAATCCCGCACTTTTACAATTTGTTATTAGTAACCATGTTATAAGTCTCATTCTTACTGAGAGGATTCTTAAATTAAGCATAAGTAAATGAATGTGCAGTGGATCCGTCGGCAACACAGCCAACTACTGCTCGGTGACAACACATAACACGGCCGACATTTTAGCAAGCAATATTGCCCACAGGCAGCGCAGAGGACGAGTACCAGGAGCGGCAGATACAGCAGTGGCAGATAGCAGTCAATGTGCCGCCTCACGTGGCCCAGGGGGCGCCAGGAAACGCGCCTCCGCCGGGCACCGTGTGGATCCAAGTGCCCACCGGAGGCGGATACCCACAACAACCGGCTGGCGGATACCCTCAACAACCCGCTGGTGGATACCCGCAAAAACCGGCAGGCGGATACCCTCAACAACCGGCTGGCGGATACCCGCAACAACCCGCTGGTGGATACCCAGAACAAACGCCTGGCGGATACCCGCAACAACCCGCTGGTGGATATCCCCAAACAGTTGGGGGCCTTCCTCAACAACCGGCTGGCGGATACCCCCAACAACCAGCTGGCGGATACCCAGAAACGACTGGCGGATACCCGCAACAACCGGCTGGCGGATACCCGCAACAACCGGCTGGCGGATACCCGCAAATAGAGTCCACACCCGCTCCATTCCCTTCGCCAATTCCTGAGCCGCCCAACGGACTCAACCCAGGGCAAGAGACGGGCTCCAGCGAACAGGCGGCACTGCTTGAACTGCGAAAGTTCTGCCTGTCCCCACGCGGCCAGTTCCCCACCGACAAGTCTTGTAGCAAGTTCGTCAACTGCTGGGACGACGTTGCAGTGGAAAGCGACTGCCCAGGGGGCCTGGTCTTCAATCCGGCGGCGGGCTTCTGTGACTACTCGTACAACGTGGATTGCGGGAACCGGCCGGCGGAGAGTGAGTACAGCACCACTTAGAGCAATGTCACATAGCACAGCACACAGAGTATGATTGTGGGCAATGTCACACAGCACAGCACACACAGTATGATTGTGGGCAACGTCACACCACAGCACACACAGTATGATTGTGGGCAATGTCACACCACAGCACATACACAGTATGATTGTGGGTAATGTCACACCACAGCACACCCACAGTATGATTGTGGGTAATGTCACACCACAGCACACACAGAATGATTGTGGGTAATGTCACACCACAGCACACCCACAGTATGATTGTGGGTAATGTCACACCACAGCACACACAGAATGATTGTGGGTAATGTCACACCACAGCACACCCACAGTATGATTGTGGGTAATGTCACACCACAGCACACACAGAATGATTGTGGGTAATGTCACACCACAGCACACCCACAGTATGATTGTGGGTAATGTCACACCACAGCACACACAGAATGATTGTGGGTAATGTCACACCACAGCACACCCACAGTATGATTGTGGGTAATGTCACACCACAGCACACACAGAATGATTGTGGGTAATGTCACACCACAGCACACCCACAGTATGATTGTGGGTAATGTCACACCACAGCACACACAGAATGATTGTGGGTAATGTCACACCACAGCACACCCACAGTATGATTGTGGGTAATGTCACACCACAGCACACACAGAATGATTGTGGGTAATGTCACACCACAGCACACCCACAGTATGATTGTGGGTAATGTCACACCACAGCACACACAGAATGATTGTGGGTAATGTCACACCACAGCACACCCACAGTATGATTGTGGACAATGTCACACCACAGCACATACACAGTATGATTGTGGGCAATGTCACACCACAGCACACACGGCATGATTGTGGGCAATATCATTGCATACAAACTTCCTCGGGCTCCTACATTCAAATCAAAGGAAGTCTGAATACCCTTAATGCTACAGACAGACAGACAGACAGACAGACATGAAACGAAGCCCGTTCACCTTGCATTTTGTACTGAAGTACTCTACTTACAAGGATTGCATCGGAAAGAGCCGACTGTGCATCCCACAGAGGCCCGGCAAATTCTTAGTTGTAGGGGGAGAACGGGACAGTTAGAAGCCGGCGGCCCACCCACCGACCGCTACTGAAGGGCCAAATTAAGACTTGTGCTGGAAAATATTTTCATGTTCCCTAATGAATAACTAATTAAATTGAGCTGGACCCCTTTTGATAGGCTAACAGTCGCTTACGTCAATATAGAACAATCCTCTACGGAAGTTCATTGACGTGTCCACAGGATACAGCCACCAGTCACAATTTTGAGCCAGTTGAATCCATTCCACGTTTTTGTAGTCCCTGCTTCCTCCTAACTTCAGGTGACGATATATTGATTCCTTGCTTCCTAATGCATGCTACAGATAACTCAAACGAGGTGTGCGTGTTGCAGAACCTGCGCCATTGGCCGACAAAGGCGCGTGCCCTTCGCCCTTTGGTACCTACAGGAGCGCAGCCAGCTGCAGTGTCTTCATTGTGTGTGTCTCTGGGACGCCCGTCAAATTCGACTGTCCCCAGGGCCTAAACTACAATGACGTAAGTCACACACCACGTGCGTTTATTTAAGAAGGCGTGGGTATGTATGTTAGGAACATAGAGCCATGGACACCAGTGAAAGGTACTCCCGAGTCCATTTTGCAGTGACCATCTCAGCCGGAATGTTCATAGCGTTCCTCCAGATAGCAGCACAGTGTAATGCATGTTGTTATTCAGTAACAATAAATGCTAGATGAAAAACGATTTCTGCAAGGCGTCTGCTACAACATAAATAACATTCCTATATTCATTTAACACAGATATGTAAGGAAAGAAAAAGAAGTAAATGCACAAAACAATAAGAGTATGCTCTCAGATTTAAGTTCCGATATACAGGGCGTCCCAGGAGGAATGTGCTAGACTTCGGGAGACACATGGACATAACTTCCTTATGTTAAAGTATGCCGATATAACCCAAAACACCTATGTCTAAAGTTGAACGGTTACGGAGGTAATGGCCAGAGAAGTGTGAAACTTTGACCGGTGTTACACACTTGTTGATTATCAAATAGATATTAAAACTGGCAGGAATATGTGGTTTCTGTAATGTTAATAATGTACGTAACATCAAACTAACTTGTGAGTGACATGAAGCCATTAAATTGAACTACAAAGAACTCGCACGCCATGTCAAAGTTGTCGTTAAGAGTTCCAAGCACTATACATGACACATGAATGGCAAGCGCTGGCGTAACATTGCTGACTGCGCGTTCTGGTATGCGAGTGTATGGGGCTAACGTGAGCTGCCATCACCACACTCAAGGACAAAGGTAGATAGGACATGCCAGCTGACAGGTACAGTGCGTGGAGTCGCCAGAACACCACACTTTTCTCTGGCCATTATCTCCGTAACCGTTCAACTTTGGACATAGGTATTTTGGGTTTTATCGGCATAGTTTAACATAAGGAACACCCTCCTGAAGTCTGGCACATTCCTCCTGGGACGCCCTGTATATTAAGAACCGCGGGGTGACCGCTAATAGAATAAGATGTTTATAGGAAGGAGCTACAGAGGGCCGGATGAGCACTGCCTACGCCTTCTTTTGTATTTTCAAGTATTTTACGATAAAAATTATTCAATTATTAATTTCAGTAACTGTGTTTCCAAGAAATTCCAGTTATGGGATTGAAGTTAGGAGCCGGGAGAGCTCAGTCGGTATAGTGACTGGTTACGGGGCTAGAGGGGCGAAAGGTCGCAGTTTGAGTCCCGGTAGGGGCAAGAACTTTTCTCCTCTCCACATCGTGCAGACCGGTTCTGCGGCCCACCCAGCCTCCTATCCAATAGCTTACGGGGGCTCTTTACTCGAGAGTAAAGCGGCCGGGGCGTGAAGGTGACCTCTCACCTCCCAGCAGTACTGAGGTCAGGAATATGTGTATTTATACATCCACTCCCCCCACACGACATTATATCGTACTATTCTACATTCATAGGGGTATTTTTCTGATTGCGTTATGTTCGAGCATTAAGAAGTAGCTATCGACCCGCGGTAAACTGCTTGCAGATTACGCTGTATGAACCGCTGCGTTCCATTCCTGCAAAGCAACATTCACAAGTGTGTCGCTTTCTTACGCAAATCAAGCGCACAACTTGACAGACACCAACAACAGATAAATCTGCTACAACTGCACGCTACTTCTATGGCAAACATAGGCCAGACGGATTGGAGAGGCGCTGAGGAACTCCAACCCAGACAATTTGACTTTGTCGACGTTTCAGGAAATCGGAGTGTGTGACTACCCTTACAACGTCGACTGTCGCGGAACGCCGGCTGAGAACCAGGTGACCACGGTGGCCCCCAGCTCGATACCAAACGACAGCAGATATGAGCCCTGGCTTAAGAGGATTCCAGCAAGTAAGTCAGGCTGTGTAAGAGAAATAATTGTGCCTCTGTTGGCTGCCCTGGTTCACGTCACGCAAGCGACTGACATTTGTTTGTTTTTGCAGGATTCATAACCAGCCAGAAGCGATATAAGCGGCTGGCGCAGAGAAGTTAACTAACTCTGTAAGTATCTGCTTGCAAAACTGTAACAATAAAATTTAAGAAAATCTACATGGTGTAACATGTCAGAAAAGCTTGTTCCATTATCTCCAAAAGCGTAAAGATACAGGGCGTTAAAAAGCGTTAATGTTTAATAAAGTAAAATGCACAAAAGAAGCTCCAGTCAACAGCGCATGCCCAGAAGTGAAGGCGTGCTGAGATGTGGCTGAGTCAGTGTCTTGCTGCGCATATTGGGGCCAGCTGTATCACCTAAAAGACTAACAGATGCCAGTGTACCATCGTTTTCTGGCAAATAACTTAGAACATTTTCCTCTTCAACAACAACACATGTGGTTCATACACGATTGGGGACCACCTCGTTTTCTCTGTATTGTCAGGCAGCACCTGAACCAAAATTTCGGGGTACAGTGAATAGGACGCGGAAGCCCAGTCAACTGGCCCCCACGGTCTCCTGACCTCAATCCTCTGGATTTTACTTTGGCTGTGAGGACACGCGAAGACTTCGGTGTTTTCAGAGCCGATCGATGATAGGGAGGAAAGGCTCTCAGAATATTCGAGTGAAACCAGGAATTTTCGATAGAAGGTGCTCCCTTGTGTGACAAAGAGATGAAAGTTGCATTGAAATGCATGGGAACAGCTGTACAGATCACACAAACTTCGCCGCACATTTCAGTTCGCATTGGTTTCTGGGACTTACTGCTCGTATAAATGAGCAATATACCCTCTTAAAGCCTGCAACTCTTTTCACATCCTGTATACTGCATATGGTGTTTGTTTCGCTCGTGTCTACAAGTTCTGTCAGCAGAAATATTTTGTTACAGTTAATATTGGAGTATACGCTTCAAAGGCGCTCTGAACAGTAAGGAGATGTACACTGGCCATTACTGTCATCCGATTCAAGTTCCAGGCACCAGATATCGAGAAAATCCTTTCAGAATCCTTACATGGGGACAGACGGACACGCAAGGGGAAGCTGTTAGGTGTATTTTTTTTTCTTTTTGCAGCCTTCTACTGCAAACGAGACAAAGGCAAGCAGCTGGGTAAAGGAGAGGTCCTCTATTCAGAAATTTTGAGAAATGCAATAAAATTCGAAAACTTTTATTAAGAACAATAAATACTGTACTTTACTACAATCAGTCCGTTTAGAAGAAACTTATTTCAAAAGACGGACAAAGAACATACACACCATAGACAATAAGAGTCTTTCCCTTTGTTAAATCATGCCAAGGGTCAGGTAAGATTTCGAGACGAGCGAAACTAAGCTGTTACACCGCACAAGAAACCCCAAGCATTTCATACAATCCGAAGGTTCATTAACGTATCCCGAGCCAGATGAATCCAGGACATGTTTCGTCCTATTAATCTTAAGCGTAGTTGCTTGAGACACTATGCTACAAGCTGGAAGGTCTCGGGTTCAAGTCCCGATGAGGTCATTGGATTTTTTCATTTGACCTAATCCATTAAGCCGCACTATGGCCCTGGGGTTTTACTCAGCCTCTAACAGAAATGAGTACCAGGAATTAATTAAATAATTCTCCTGGGGAGCAAAGCGCGGCCAGCGCGTAAGGCTGACAACCTTACCGCCATCTTTGAGCCGACTGCCGAGATAATGTGGGACCCTCAACGTCTCACAACCCTGTGGGCCTTAACGGCCTGTCACAGGGATAGCTTTACTTTTACTTTTACTTCTACTTTAATATTATCCTCCCATCTAACCCCATAGACCTTCTTAGTGGTGCCCTCATTTTTTTTCAGGGGTACCCACCAAACTTTCGTATTGCCACGTGTGTGAATGATTATAGACGGGGTTTGGGTTGGTGAATAGATTTATTGAGCACTTACAGGTCGTAACTACATGCAACTATAACATTCTTCCTATTTCCACACCTTACAGTTCATTACAGCACACAGTCTAGTGTTTTCAGCATGTTAGTAGACGTTTCTTGGTAACGGTTCCAACAATGGATATTCCTCTGCCTCAGGCCCAAGTCCTTTCTTCACAGGCTCCTGAACAAAACTAAGCTGTAAACTTGTTCCTTGTTTAAAGCATTTCGGCACGGACCACACAGTAAACACAGTTCCTCCACTGCTGTCACTCTTATGTTCGTGTCGATGCGGGAACGTGTTAACCGATCCGCTGCCCAGAAACGGCCCTGGTATATCAGGTCATGTCGCAGAAAAACGCACACACACAAACTAAACATCCATGCTCTGAGTGGGATTCGAACTCACGATCCCGGTTTCCAAGCGGGCGAAGACAGTACATGCCTTAGACCGTTCGGCTACCGTGACCGGCGGACCCTCAGCCTATATTGTCCTTAATAAGAGACAGCGACAGAAAACCGTAACTATTAATCTGAAAGAACAGTCAAAATTACAACTAAAATTTTCAAGCAACGACAACATTGAAGGGGGCACCTCGAGAAACCTACTATACAGAAACGAATAAAATACCTCCTGTTCTTTTTCGCAAACACTGAGCCTATAATATGAACAGAAGCACAGGTGCCTCTCTCACTGCGCGTGACTATTACTGCAGCTTCCCTGTGACTGAAGCCAGGCTCTAACAGTTTCTTTTCTCTCTCCGCAGACGCGAAGCCGGATGAAGGCCATAACGATACTAACACCATCTGTCGTGGCTACACGCAGCTCTGCATCCTACAGGACTTGGACGTTTCGGTAGTGAATCTGAACGCCGCATCGGTGGGAAGAAACGACACAGACGTACGCGAAGACTGCATTTCATATTGTTGCAGTGGCTAACCAGTTCAAGCACAACACACGTGTTACAAAGATGGCGGCACCTCTACAAATTTATATAGCGAACTATATATATATATACATACATACAGGGTGTCCAGATGAAAGGTATCCAAAATAAAATAATTATATCTCAGAAAGCATTTGTTATACATATTTATGGGTTACACCAATACAAAGGAAAAGTATCAGAGTTTTTCCAGGATATGTAAATTTCTCAATAAATTTCAGTGTGGGCTCCCTTGATATTTTGAAATATCCAGACGATATTCGACCTCGTTCCCCGTTGCTTGAAGCATGTTTGGTGTTACCGTAGCCACAGCGACCCCTAGGCGGGCTTTAAGGTGATGGAGTAGCGCGAACTGGTTTGTGCGGGCTTCACCGCAATGCCTCTCTAATGCGATTGACATTTTCTTCAGAGGTCTGTGTCTTTCTAGTAGATTTTACACGAAACAGACTACCTGTATTCCTCAGTGTGTTACCCCAGAAACGAATGCTTTTCCGTGTGGGAGGATGGCGTCCATTTTGCGTTCTGACACGAGACTGCAACTCTGCTAGAAACAACACTCTTTGAAACTGTTCCTGCAGTGTCGGCATCGTGACTGAACTCGCCGCAGGTCACCAGCTGCGCATGCGCGTAAGCTGGGTATGAAAGAAGAAAACTTCCAGAGTTTTCCTTTCCGATGACATAAACCGGATATGTTTATGGCAATTAGATTTTGAGATATAAGTTTTTTTCTTTATTTTGGATACCTTTCATCCGGTGTCACAACATGCATGACCACAATGCATGTGATTTGCTATGTTGTGGGAGTTTCGCGAACTGGAAGAAGCAGAATGTGACACCAAAACAGTGTAAACAGCAACAGTTTCCCATAATTCAGAATTACACATGTTCCAAGATCCAGCAGACCTTGTCACGAATCCGATTTCGAGGGACAATTTTCGGTTAAAAAAATCTGTGTTCAGTAGCAATCCGTATTAACCCTTGAAAGTGCAGTGGCTACAATATATACAACCTGTTTCTCTAACGTTAAACAGCAACTTTCCATCAGAGTATGTTTATCACATGGTCGATTTCTTGTCCAACATAAATGGCGACTGTTCTCGTGAAAGTCATTTATCGATTGTTATTTTGCTCACTGACTTACAGTAAAACTGAGAATAGTTATTTTGAAATTTATTAAAACTAAATTTATTTAGGAGAGATATTCTGAGTAAACAAAATAAAAAACGAATTAACTCGGCGTTGTGTCAATGTCCTGTTGGTTTCCTTCACTCTTGTGATGACATTTCGACGTGCATGTCCAGTTCTGTTCTGACAGTTCAGTGTAACCCCACGTCCACGCTGCGGGAATTCCGCCGCCCCCACCGACAGAACATCCCCCTTACAGCTCCCTCACACTACAAAGGGCCGCATTTGCTCTGTAGTCGCGCTGCGCCCACAGGCCCCATTATATTAAACAGAAAAAAGCTACTTAAGTGAGAGACGTGGGAACTACGACAAAGATATTCTTTCAAAACATGGCTGATTCACTTAAAGAGATACAAAAAGAGGGATGAACGTCATAAAAACACAAAATGTGCTTCTTTTTCGCAAACTGTGTCGGAATTTCCAAACTACCGCGATGAAAACACACATCGTTCCTACTGACGACGTTTCGAGAGAGACACATGCAAACATAAAGAGCCACGTTACGTTTTGGAGTGTTCTTTAATTGGATCACCCTGTATAAATTTATGTTTGAAAGATTATAATCCCCATGTCTAGTAGGATGCATCGCTATGGGATACGGTGATATTCGGGAAAATATATTAAACCCTACATGCCCCATAACATATGTAATCACAGATTTATTTCATAACTTACAATTCGAGTAGGTATAATAATGTTGGAATATATGTACTATTTAATATTAAATATTTCCTTAGAGCTGAATTCATTCCGTTTCAAAGGTTTGCCTGATTTCTTACCGATTTCTTACACTGCAAACAAATGTACTTAAATCAGAACGCACTGCTTTAGAAAAACTGTAATATAACACATCTTACCGCCGAAAAATGTTGCCTTCACGTCGATTCTACCTTGCAAAGGATACGGGCAGCGCTGTCGGCGTCTCGGAGTTATATGCTGCCTCTATCTTCATGAGATAAGAACCTGTTCCTCCGCAACGTCGCGAACACTATTCGAGAGAAGATAGAAAGCTAAAAAATTGCAATATTTATCTTTCATGAACCTCTCTCGTTTCTTTCAAATGTAAATGGATAATTAGCTACAGTGGTAACTTTATGTACCACCTGCCTTTAACGTATCAAGGCTTTCCATTCCGCCCAAACGTTGTATTTATTATGTGTTCCGTATGAGTCTCACAACAAACAGCGACTGTTTCCCTAAACAGCATTAACTAGTTGGGCTTTGTAACGGTGACGTAATATATTTCCTGTGAGGTACGGACTGGATCTATGTTCCGTATGATTTTCACAATAAACAGCGACTCTTTCCCTGAACAGCATTAACCGGTTCGGCTTTGTAGCGGAGACGTAATGTGTTTCCTGTGATGTACGGACTGGTTCTGTGAGATCCGTATGGTTCTCACAGTAAACAGCAGCTGTTTCCCTAAACAGCATTAACCGCTTGGGCTTTGTAGCGGAGACGCGGTGTGTTTCCTGTGAGGTACGAACTGGATCTTTATATATTGTTTTATATTACTTTCATACATAAAGGTGTTTAATGCTCGATTTTTCGATGCTTAGTATTAATAACTCTCTCTCTTCACATCTGCTACAACAAGTGCACTCAGAAATGACAAAGAAATGCTAGAGGATATGTTTTCGGTGCCCGCTGATCCTGTCACGTGTTAAGCTTCCCATAAGAAACCTGAAAACTCTTTGACACGCACGTGACTCAAAGTGAGCCCATAACAACCCCAGCAGCATACAGACGTTTAGCTTGCAGCAAACACTTCAGATCTATTTACTTTACGTAATCTAATGCTCGTCACTACTACAGGCCGCCCATATGGGGGCTTTGAAACACTTGTAAACACTCTAAAAGAGTGAATGTAATGCCTTGTTTCGTATTACGCACTACGTGACGTACCAATTAAACTCTAGCGTAAACTGTGTTTTATTTATTTATTTACAGATTTAAGTTCCCTGCTTCTCTGTCCAGACTGTGGTTGCTATCTTTGTCAGCATTACAACATGCAACAACACCCAAATACAAATAAGAGTATAATTGAATAATTAATAAAATATTTGGAATGAGGACTGGAATCGCACTCAGAAACTCTACCACACATGCACATCGCTTTACCAGCCGTGGCTACCGCACATATTGGTAAGGGTTGAGCGAATTTCATGCTATCTTACGGCTACAGTAGGAAGTTAACAGCCAACAGTGAGTCTCCACGGTTACAACAAACACGTGGAGAGTTCCCACAGCGACAAACGCTATAACAGTGGACCGTTGCCCGGGAATGTCTGGGACAACAAACGCGTTTCGTAGGAGATGAAAGGAAACGAATTGTTCGAAGCGTTGAATGAGAAGGTTCATTGCATAGCAATAGCAGAGGTTATAAAAGCCGAGCTTCGACAAGGGACCAGTGAAGACAGACAGACTGACCGACCGTCAGTCGCAATGTGACTTTAACTTTGACTTCGACTTGACCAGTCAGTTCTTAGTGTAGCACTGACTAGAGCAGAAGCAAGCTCGCATCCGACAAAGGGAATAGAAGACTTCACCGAGATTAATGGTGCAGGAAGAAACTATAACAGAATTGTAAGAAACGTTATAAGTGGATGATAATAGTACTTATGTGTGGATAAGAGTGTTGAATAAATATTCGCTGAATTGGAGACCTACGTGGAAGTTATTCGTTGTGTTACATAGGAAACACACGACAATATCTTTGGGTGTTGTCTGTGGTAGGAAATGAGAAACAGACAGGAAAATTACATACTGAAATAAATTTAAAAACGTTTAAATGCATATATAATATATTATTTAACGATGTTGTATTACCCTCATACATAGGATATGTTACGCATGTAAATCTGAACTCAGTACCAGCGGTACACAAGGAGCAGCAGCACAGGGATTCCCCAATGTTTCCATAACACGTCACGTGACAACGTCTGCACTCTGGTGGTAGTTCGAGTAATCTCGATCGATTCACTGGTCAGAAATGCTACACACTGTAGCGTCATATATGACCCAGTTGACGCTGTTCTGGTGTAAACACACCGCAAGTTTGCATGTACCACGTTTCGGCTTATTATGACCAAGTACATACAGTCTTTACAGTCACTCACATTTCTATCTGCTATGCCTCCCTATCCTTGCGACGGGCCGATCTCCGTCCAAGGAGTCCTACCGACCCTCAAAGATTAAGAAGCTGAAGCGAGATGAAGCGATACCTCCCTAAACTTGGGTCACGCGGTTAGTCGCTGGCTTCCCGGGTTCGAGCCCGGGTCTGGTTAAGTGGGATTTGTGGTGGAGAAAATAGCGCTGGGGCACGTTTTCTCTGAGTACTTCGGTTTCCCCTGCCAATCTTCATTCCACCAAATTCTCCATCATCATAATCACCCGGGGCAGGTACAACAGGCCAGTCAGTGGCCGACGGGCCGAGTGGACCCAGCTGGACTCCAGCCCCCACCTAGAGAATTAAAGAAAATTAAATTACCTCCATAAACTGGCCGTTCGCATTCTGGGAGCAGGTTGTACAGGTAAGTCGTTTACGTAACGCCCTCATGTTATAAATTGTATTGAAACTAAAATTCTAAAAATATTGAAATATTATAATTGGAATTAAAATGCAGTTACGTGTCAGAAGATACATATATTTTCTCGTTTTGCTTTATGTTGCCGTGTCTATTTGGATTGTACTGCGCACATTTCCATGTGCTGTTTGCCAGTTTGCGTTCTTCATGTGGTTATATTGCCTGTGATGTATGCACTATCTCGCAGTTTTCCAGGAGGTTCTGAGGAAAATTACGAGGTACCTACCGAACTATCGCTATGCCTACCCGCTCCTACGTAATTTATATGGTCTTGTTTCATAATTCCCCTGTAAGGGAAAAATTCCGTGACCCGACGTATGTAACTGGGGTCAGGTGAGGTGGAGGTGGGGGGGGGGTTGCTACACTGGTCAGAAATTGATAAGTACCGAAACCCATGCACACCGAATTATTTTGCGTTAAACAAACATTACGTCACTGTCGGAACAAACAGCTTGTATTGGTGAACTGGATGTTNCATGTAAGATTTGAGGCTTTCACGGCGGTGACTGTGAAGAAAGCAGTCTTCTGGGATTTGGCACCGTGTATATGTGGTGTTAACCGACGTTTCGGAGGAGCAGTCTGCTTTTACCGGTTCTCACGGTCTCTTCGCTTGCAGATTTCTTATATGTTTTCTTCTATCCTGAAGATGGAGGCGATACGTTCCTCCGAAACGTCGGTTAACACCACATATACACGGTGCCAAATCCCAGAAGACTGCTTTCTTCACAGTCACCGCCGTGAAAGCCTCAAATCTTACATGGATGTTGTGTATTTTCGTGAAGACACGAACCGGCTTTTATTAGTTTCGCCCCAAATATGAAATAAACCAAACTGCATAAAGCGGAACAGGGGATTTAGAATCTGAATGGGTTGGCACTTTGGAAGTTACACAATACTGACTGTTTATCTTCTTGAGTGAACACATGTAACAACAAACTGCAACAAACATCGGCTTCAGAGTAATAACACATCATGTCCAGCAGCGGCGGAAACAGTTACAATATCAGCCTCCCACTGCCATCTTGCAGCTATCCACAGAACTCTTCGGCGTCCAAATCGTTGAGCGTAAGAGTACACAGCATTACGTACAGATGTCGATACTGTCCGCCGCTTTTCTTGTAGCGAGAGACATCTGCACAAATTGTTATGCTACTTGCAGTAAGATGGTGTCAGTGGAGCACCTTAATTAATTAAGCACTATGCCATGAAGACGTATAGAGGAGTGGATGTATAGATCCACGTGTAGAGCCGTTACTACGCAACGACAGCGAGATAACAAATATAATCCGTTTCTAGGAGACGGTTTGGTGAACAAGCTCTCGTGGTAAAGGATACGCATGCAACAACAGAGGTGGACCCCGTGTGGAGGCGGGGTCGAATACCTCCACCGTAGCCCTGCGAGTCATAAGAGGCGACGTAAAGGGAAGCCTCGAATCTGAGGCAATAAAATACGGTCACGAGTACAACGGAACTCGGATCCGAAAATGACTGCTCTGGCGAGGACCAGCAGCATCTAAACGACAGACACGTCCTCTCTTTAGAGAGGGCGCCCCAAATCAACAAACCCGCAACTGTCTAACAATAATAAAAATCTGTTCTTAAGCCCACATGGGCGCTTTGTTCCAAGCCAGACTGGCCGACTGACAGTCGATCGTAACACAGGACTCAGTTCAGGGGGGTGGGGGGAGTATAACTGTGCAACCCTGTTCCTGTGGGATATAAAGACGGGAACCTGGCCATCCAGGTTTCGGGAGTCTCGAATCTGAGACAGTAAACTGTGGTCATGAGTCCCGCGGGATTTGGATCTCAGAATAACTGCGCTGACGAGAACCAGAAGCAACTATAAACTACAAATTCAGCCTTTCGTCAGAAAGGATGTTACATAAGGACTATAAGCGCAAGTGTTTAGTTGTAAAATAAAATTACTGGTAGTGAGTCTCAAGGAGCTTGTCGTCAAGACGAAGCGTGGCGATAAACCTCCAGTCTGACTGGCTGACTGACCCTGACTGAAGAATAGTTCAGCTGGAAGGGGGCCGCTATTCAGAGAATACTTGAGTCCGGAAGCAGTGAAATAGCCACTGTTAAAGCCGCTACCAGGCAACTACTAATAAAGACATAGTAGGATGGAAATGATTTAGTGTGTGTGCTAGTGATTTGTGGAAGTCTGGAAATTAGCAATAACGCTATAATTAAGTGTCATTACGAGTTGTGCGTTAAAGTGGTTATCCAATCCAAACCCCCTCCAGAGTCGTTCATACATGCGACAATTATTTTATGAATGTCAGCTTTCCCTATACAGCTCTCGACGCTGTAGCGTTTAGCAACAAGTTACCACACAGATAAATCACAGAATATTTTTTCTGGCTTCCGTTTGCTCCCGCTGCGCATCGGAACGTCACGAGGTCTCACGCTTCTCCGCCTGTCGCCTCCAGTTACAGAGAAACGAGACCTTTAGCTCCCAAGATGGCTTGGCTCAGTTCGGCACGGCACGGCAGCGACCGGCCGCCAATTGCCCTGGCCGTTACGTTAACAGCTGTTCCGATGCTGCTTTTGTGTTCATGGACGGCCAGTCATTCTACATGGAATACGGCGCTAATTGGTAATTTCTATATGACGTCGGATGCAGCAGTGAATGTTAACTTCAAAACAGGAATTCATCTCGTCAGATGTTACATTCATACTTTAAGAAGAGGAAGAAGACGGGGCGGGAAGGAGTAGTAAAAGAGATTTGAAGGGATGACAGAAAAATTCTTCTGTTTCGAAAATTCCCTAGCAGTGCCGTCTCGTACTTCCGATAGTTTCTACGTTTGAGAGAGAGGTAAGGCGTTGGAAACAGAGGAAGGTAAAGCGTTGGTAAGTGAAATCCGTTGTGAGTTGAGGAGAGATAAATGAGCAGGGAATTTATTGCGAACGATCAGAATTTTCAGAGATATTGGGTTCTCGGACTTTTTCCATCGTCATGGTTTTAAGATAACTAAGAAAAACCAGGACGATGAATAAAGTCCGAAAACCCAATATCTCTGTGTGTTATACACCATCGTCAGAATCCTGTAGTAACTAATTGATCAGAATTTTGATATTAACGTTGGAGGGGCTTTCATTTAATATTGTGAGGGTGACATTGCTACGTTAAAATTATGGAGGGGAAACTGCATGTGAAATATGCAGTTCAATTTGCGTACCAAATTTATCAGTGACTGAGGAAACCAAGGGGAAGCCCCCTTCACCAGTTGGTTGAAGCTTCAAATTCGTTTAAATAATGATAATTTAATTCATTTTCGGAGAAAACATATTCCGTCTCTCTCATAAAGATAAATCCGTTAATGCTGTTTATGGAAACACTCGATGTTTATTGTGAGATCCATACGAAACACAGATCCAGTCCGTACATCACAGGAAACACATTACGTCTCCTCTACAAAGCCCAACCCGTTAATACTGGTTAAGGGAACAGCCGCTCTTTATTCTGAGAACCATACGGAAAACACAGACCCAGCCCGTACCTCACAGAGATACATTACGTCTTCGCTATAAAACCCAACGGGTTAATGCTGTTACGGGAAACAGCCGCTGTTTGTTTTGAGAATCACATACAGGTGCACTGCAGTTGTTCCCTAATTTCTGCAACGTGACACCGCGCATTCTGTTCTCGTATGTACCCGTTTTTTACATCTTCTCTCCTGAGCACACAGAAAGAACATTTCCCATAACGGTGGTACCACTGTAACCAACAGGCATGGTGTCACGTCGGCCAGCACACGGCTGTGAAAACGTCAGACCTCAAAACACCTTGAACACGCCGCTGTATATTTGCGGGCGGTTTTTGTGGTTGCCCCTCGGACCGACACAAATCCGTTCCGGTGACCCCAGACGTATCCGAAACGTCGTAGCGAGCGCTAACGCCACGCCTCAACCAGGCGACACACACTCGCCACTTTCACCACGGTTCCCACTTTCCAAAGCCACGTCGATCTTACCTCATTATACAACACTCCATACAGACGGGTAGGACCCGTGAGCATATCGCGACGCTCCCTACCGACTGAGCCACCTCTGCTTACATATCTGACACTTCTAGCGCTATGCAAGAGATATGTCGGTTATGAACACTTGGCTATTCTGGAAGAGATGAATCTGCAGTTTAAGGAGATTGGTAAATGGAAAGTGTTAGGAACTGCATCAACTGCCAGTTTTTAGAAAACCATGAAGATGGAGGCAATAATTTCCTTATAAACGCTGACAGCAATCATCATCCTGTGAAGGACCTTAAACAGAAACTCGACGTACCATACGGAGCGCGTTATTTTGGCTGCAATGAAATAACAGACTTGTATCGGAGAGGAATTATAAATATTTTTAATCTTAATGTAGGCTGTGACACTGTAAGTACGGAGACTTTTCTGTTTTCATTTTCTCCAGACAAACTCCACTGTATTGCCTAGATTGGCTCACGACTCTTCAGTTGCCAAAACAGAATACAAATTCATCGGCCGGGAATTACAAACATAAGAAATCAAGAAGAAAGCAGTCTTCTGGGATGTGGCGCCGTGTAGATATTGTGTTAACAGACGTTTCGGAGGAACGTATCGCCTCCATCTTCAGAGTAGAAGAAAAAAGAAGAAAATCCGCAAGCGAGGAACCGGTGCGAGCAAGTGCTCACAGAGTAATGTCGGGTCGAACTCGAACTCCGAAACGTCGGTTCACCCAAGATCTACACGGCGACATATCCCAGAAGACTGCTTTCTTCATAGTCACCGCCGTGAAAGCCTCAAATCTTACATAAGAAATTAAATTCCAGGAAAATATATCCATCCATTTTACATTCAACATACTTAGAATATTTGGCACTAAATGTGGGGAACATTTTATGTATAGGTCAAGAAAGGAATAATATAAACACCATTGTTACATAATATGGACTGCGCATGTACTGAACCAATTTAAAGCAATATATGAGACAAACTCCGTCTTAAGTGCAACAATTTAATTGTAGTTCTTTTTCTTTCCTTCCTCTACACTACATGTTTCGGCCCTAAATGGCCATCATCAGGTGTGTGTTCTTACGTAGCTGCTACACTGCCCGTAGTTTAAAATTTAAATCACCAGTCTTTCCAATTGTATGTATGTATAAAATCTTTGTTAACCTACACACGTCAATTTGATTTCCAAAATTGGCACTTTTTAAAACTTCAATTCCAATTAAAATATCTTTAAATTTTCCGTTCTTTTTCTTTTTCCAAATTTTAAAAATTAAAATTTCTCGGGGTACTCGCCCTATGTAAATAGTGCTGCAGCGGCCACTTCTTGTTTTACCGCTGTTCAGGTATTGTTCTGTGTAGGCTCTCTGTGCGTGTGCCGCTGCCTATCTTTAATACGTGTAGAGAAAGGAAAAAAATAAAGAACTACAATTAAATTGTTGCACTTAAGACGGAGTTTGTCTCATATACTGTGTGATTGTAACAGGACGCTTAAATATAATATTGCAATTTAAAGCGGCAAAGCTCTGACCAGAGCCTCGTCAGTGAGAACGGGTTGCACCGTGGGTAGGCGAGAGTTGCTGTAATATAGGACAGGCTGCATGCAGTGTTGGTATTACTGACCGCTTAGATGGCCTTAGGTGGCATGAAAAACATACCAAGGTTCATGAATATTGGTAGAGCCATTCAAGCACTATTAAGTAAGGTTTTGTCTCAGGAATTATAGAAGCTGTAATGTTGGTAATACTGACGAGAAGGATTTATGAATTGCGCCGTTGAGATGAACACAGGTGGCATGATATATATACCAAGTTTCATAAAGATTGGTTCAGTCATTCAAGAAATCGATGGTGAGATACACAAACAGCAAAGGTCATAAGTCTACTTATATTTCTTTAAATATGGAAAGTTGGCTAAAAATTAAGAACGTTATAAAAAACTTTAAAAAGACGTCTGAGCCGGCCACGGTAGCCAAGCGGTCTAAAGCATGTACTGTCTTCGCTCGCTTGGAAACCGGGATCGTGGGTTCGAATCCCACTCAGGGCACGGATGTTTAGTTTGCGTTTGCGGGTTTTTCTGTGTTTGTGTACAGGTAGAGACCTTCCGACGAGCTGATCACCCACCCAAGGAGTCCTACAGAATGTGTAAAATCTAGAAAAACCGAAGTGAACGGATAAGTTCATGGAGGTAGGCCTAGGCCCACTGGAGCTGTAGAGCCAAGGAAAAAAGTCTTCTGGATTCCAAATGTCTTTCAATTCATCAGTCAGCAGTGAACCTACCATTCCGCGCTCTGAAGTATGGTTACTTGGCTATGCCGTACATTCATTCAACAAAAGAGAAACACGAAACAAAACACAAAACGGCTTCAACTAAAAGAAAATATTGTAACGTGGATGCACACAGCGTTGTTAGGCAACTGACCGCGAAACACCTCGGGACCGAATATACGCAAGCCAACAATGGGAGTGCGGCGTTTCTTTGCTGTTAATAAATCCAATCATCAGAACTAGAACCCGTCATTTCGTCACGCGTACCCCCCTACAAGCGAAAATATATTCACATACCTTGGCCCGTCTATAGCAGAAAGCTGAAAGCGTGTGCATGTGTGCATGTCTCAGTTCCAGAACCGCCAAACTGGAGAATTCTACTAACATTTTACCTGCTTTCGCGCTGGCTTCTTGCTTGGCTACATGTCCCTCCGAAACGTCGGCTCACTTTCAAAACACTATATGGTATTATAGCTTAGTCGGTATAGCGACTGGCCACGGGCTGGACGACCGAGGGGTCGGAGTTCGAGACCCGGTAGGGTCAAGAATTTTCTCCAAAACTGTTCTGGTGCCCGCCCAGCCTCCTATCCAATGGGTACTGGGGGCTCTTCCCCGGAGGTAAAGCGGCCAGGGCGTGAAGCTGACCACTTACCTCCAACTAATGCCGAGGTAAAGAAAATACGATCTATACATCCACTCCTCATACGCCTTCATGGTGTAGTTGTTAATTAGTTAAGCACAGGGCCAACTTTTCCTTTTACATGGAGTTATATCCCACAAGGCAGAACTCTTCATAACCACCGGTGTCAGAACCTTAAATCCTATATTCTACTAAAACACTTCGATATGTTCCATTTGATCTCTGTCCGACCAACAGTAACGCACACTGCACGAAGATTTGCATTGGTTTCTGTGTCCATCCGTACCGAAACTCGCCAAATATTTACGAGGGAAAAGCAAATTTCGAACGAAAATTACAGAAAACGAATGAGGAGAGATGCAGGCTACACTAGGACTTATCAAAGGCGATCTTTCCAGTTTACTGAACTTATCGTGCACCCTGATTAACCAATTACGACGATAAGTAAATCCAACTTCATTGTGGGCCAATGAAACTGAAGAAGCCCCAGGTAACGAACTACTGCAGGCTGCATAACGTTCAGGCGCTGATATACGCCACAAACAGACAGGCAGCCGGACAGAGAAAGAAGGGTTACTTCTTTTGACAAGGCGCTTCCACATTACTCGTGCTCGTGCTCGCCAGGCTTGTGCTCGTCGGGAGACTCGTCTGGCTTTTACTTGTGCTCGTAAATCTTCGTCCACACTACTTCAGTTGCTCGCCGGGCTTCGGCGCGTGAGGATCCGTATATTTACTCGTAGTGTGTATAGGCTGTAGTCGTATTTTAATTTACTGGCTATAGTTTTTAAATTAAAAATTTTAAATCTGCTTGTCTCGTGACTTGTCATATCGTTCACGTTACTCGCGAGCATAGCGAGTCGCACGAGCACGAGTAATGTGGGTGCGCCTTTATGTACTGCCCGTATCAGAGTCCAGCATGAAAAGCCTGTCTGGTGTACCTGGCTTATTTCTCTTGTTATTAATACGCCGAAAGGTTTCGGGCTCACGAGCCCATCCTTAGGGGACGGACACATATTAAAAAGAAACTCAACAGTTCACATATATACATAGATAAGTACATAAGAACAAAATAAATAAATATTATTACATAAAAATGTACTCACGTAGGTGGTCACTGCGTCTGAGATTGTGGTTGAGCTATGTCCACCAGTCCAACACTGCAAGCACAACAAGGTCGCAGAGAGCACTGTCAGAAAAAGGACATTAAGTACAACAAAAACAACACACCACAACCATAACCACAGAATGCAACGACAACATGTCTGTGATTTCTTACATAGTAAAAAAAATGTAAAAGATAAAGCTATCCCTGTAACAGGCTGTGGAGGCCCATAGGGTTGTGAGACGTCGAGGCTCCCACATTTTCTAGACATTCGGCTCACAGATGGCAGTGAGGATGTCAGCCTTACGCGCCAGCCGCCCTTTACCTCTCAGAAGATTCCTGGTACTCACTTATTTTAGAGATTGAGTTGGCACCAGGGCCACAGGGCTGCTAGAAGGATTAGGTCAATCGAAAAATCCAATGACCTCATCAGGAATCGAACCCGCGACCTTCCGGCTTGTAGCGTAATGCCTCAACCAACTACACTAACGCGTAATCTAGACATATGTTGAAGGATCTCGGTTCGTACCTCGGAGAGGATCCGGCTATCATAACAGAGATATTTTAGTGGGTTTACCCTATCACTTCGGACAAATAATACCAGGATAGTACGGCATCTTTATCTCTGTGCCAACCTGATCGTTTTAATTCCCGTAGTATACTCCAGTTTATATAATTCAAGCAGGGTCGAACCTGAGACGCTCGACAGGGACGTTGAACATAAATAAATAGATCTGCCTTACAATATCGCAGTTTCTGTGTGATGTGAATATTCTTCGCCCAACTGATGATGACATGCAGTGGTGAGTATACGTTGTGAAGTGGAGGTCCACAATAATTGTATCGGACTGCACGGCAGCAGTATGCACCGTTACAATAAGGCACGCGGAGAAGAGAGGCGTGGTTAAGCGAGGGAGCGTCCGCTGTGACGCAGGAATTCATACCGCAGCCATTTCCTGACACTGTGCGCTTAGAGCACTGGGCCTGTTTCAATATCGTTTCAAAACGAAATCCTCAGATGTAATAAGAATTTGCCACTAACTGTCCTCCACTCTGTAACTGTGTTCACCTTGTTCTACGAATTGCATTTTGTGTGATATTTGAATATAACCTCCGTACTCGCATTGTTTTGTGACCAAGCACCTTTCTCTTCGTGTCATGACATTCAGATAACCGCGAGAGCCAGGGTGACCAACCTCACCAACAAGAGAAATCTTTTGAGATTACAACACCAGTTAACTCAGCAATTTATGGCTCCATGCTAAGCTAGGACATAGAAATGTCAAGATGTTTCCAACAGATGGAAAAGCTCCCGTAAAACTCCAGGTTATGACAACAACTGCAGTCTGGGGTTTACGTTATATCGTAATTTTACAATATTGTAGCTATGCAGCGATAGCGAGAAGGAACATGCGTTGCTTGGTAACGGCCGATAAACACGTCAACGATATACGAGCTATCTCTAAGTAANACAACAGTAGACATCCATTGCTAGGTAATGGACGTGGTTTTTATGGAGTCCTCCCCGAGGCTACATAACAGTGAGTGAGGCTACGGCCGCTTATGGGTGGTCAAGCTTACGACCGTTCAAATGACTAAGCTGCCGTTGTAGCATAAGATATATAAGTCAGCTGCTCTGTAAAGCCTGTATTGACAGAGGACTTGTGTGTAGTGAAAAAGGAAGAATTTTCAATAACATGTTATATGCGCGAAATATACACTTNAACTCCAGGTTATGACAACAACTGCAGTCTGGGGTTTACGTTATATCGTAATTTTACAATATTGTAGCTATGCAGCGATAGCGAGAAGGAACATGCGTTGCTTGGTAACGGCCGATAAACACGTCAACGATATACGAGCTATCTCTAAGTAACCGCTCATATCAACATATCTCTGGTCGTGAGGCTCAAAGGGCTTTTCGCGAAGACGAACTGATCGGCGGTAAACCGCCAGTCGTACATTAACTCTGACTCTGACTCTGCTGGGTGAGCTCAGTTGCTGGGTATTAGCCAGACAGTAATGAAATGAGCGCGGGAAGCTGAAGAATCTCCACTGTTAGAAGCCTTTGCCAGGGAACGGTTTAGAGGGTGCTGTCGTGACTTGGAATTTTGGAGATCAGCAGTGGCGCTGTAATTTTAGGAGTGGTGTAAACAAGTGGTCAGTAAATCCAAAATCCAGTCCACACCCACCTAAAGTCACAATCCCAAATACGTGACAATGATTGTCACATAAGAAAGTTAAGAAATTTACACACTGATTAACAATTCCCGGAGTGTATTCACGTTGGAAACCGTGTAGATCACGGAAAAAATGTATCCTATATAAAGAGAGTTATTTTTTCTCCAATGATTTTTTCGAAGAAATTATCGGTCCGTTAAACATTTAGCGAGTCACGCATCAGACACGAGAGCAGAAACGCATGTTAAGGCTTCACTCAAGTGCGCGTTATTGCTGTCCGATTTCAGCCAAATTTGGAAGACGTCGACGAACTTTAAACAAAATATCAAATTCCAAATTTAGAGCAAATATGTTTAACAATTCTCAACTCATTTCATGCATACAGACAGACTTACTTACAAATGGGCATAAAGCAACCGGAAGGTAGCAGGTTTCATTCCTGATGAGATCACTTGATTTTTTTCAATTGGCCTAATACTCCCAGCCGCAATATGTCCCTGGGGTTGACTCAGCCTGTAACAGAAATGAGTTCAAAGAATATTCCTGGGGGTAAAGGGCAGCCGGCCGGCCTGTAAAGCTGACAAGCTCATCTTCAACTGTGAATCGATTTTCTAGAAAATATGGGAAACTCAACGTCTCACAACCATATGGACCTTGACGGCCTGTTACAGGGATAATTTTACCTGTTCTTTAATGCTGCAATTATGGGAGAATGCTATATGCTGGGGGCTGTGTATGTGGTCTGATACAAGCTTTTTTTTCCCCCGACCATGAAGGAGACAGTATTTTCATCCGCCACGTCTACGAAGTCCCCCCCCCCCCGCCCAATTATATGCCATCGCATTTGAGAAGATGGTGCACGTCGCCGTGTACTTCGTTTCCCCTGCCAATTCTCATTCCACCGATTGCTCCATAATAATCTATCATCCGGGGCTGGTACAACAGGCCAGTTAGTGGCCGACGTACCAAGTGGACTCAGTCTCACCCCAAACCACGAAATAAACAAAAAACATACACATTCTTGTTCGAGGCTGTTACATAAATTGTGAAGTGCTCAGCTACACCCAAGAGAAGACGTGCGGTGACTGGCACACAGCCCACTGAACACGGGGAAACTAACCCTCAAACTGGAAAGTGCCCAGAAACTCGAAATTCGCAGGCCGCTTAACAACAGCCGAGAGCGTTCCTGCGTTCAGAATGTATAGCGTTCACCAACTAAGGAGAAAAGCGATCCTTGAGCACCACGCCATTAAGAAGTATGGGGAAATGGAGGTATAGCCCTACCACTCTTGATCTCAGCACTAGGTCGAAATTGCTCATATTCATGCCCAGAACGCTTCACCTCAGCACTAACCGAATCTAAACTCCCCGGTAGCAGAACCCGAAGGTTTCGCAATGCTAATACAAAAGCCTGCCATTGAACAAGACTCGGTGCCAGTTTCATCCATCTCCATTATCACAACCCATTTCCTTAAGACCAATCTTTCTAACTCCTTGGAACTGAGCCCTTCTTGAGAAGCCACCTGTCGCTCAGCTACTCAAGAATTTCCCAATGTTTTATGGAACCCGAAGTATCATTACCGTGTTTATAGAAGCCCTCCACCGGTCCCTATCCTCAGCTAGATCAATCCAGTCCGTACCACCTCATTCTATCTATCTTAATATTGTCACGTATAGGTTTGTTGCGTAACTTATAAGACGGATTTTGGATTGGAAGATTGGATTTACTGACACCTTATTCATCCAATTCGTGACTACAAGTAATTACAGAGCTATCGCTGATTTATACACTTTACAGTTCACCGCTACAAACGCACTGAAGTTCTCAGTCTTCACTAGTCGTATCCTGGCAACAGATTTATTACAGTCTCACTGTAACTTCAAGTCAGACATGAAGTCTCCTTTTCAAAATGGATTTCCTTTCTTGCCATTTATTCTTTTTCGCCTTCCACTGCCATCTCCAGAACTTGGCCCAATTCTTGGCAATTCACTCAAATGTACTCTTCTTCAACCGAACTCACTCAAATTTTGACAATTAACTGTTCTCTTGGAACTTCCTGTTATATAGCATCGCGGCGGACCCCACGGAAAACACTGTCTTCTATTACCCCGTATTGTTTTACTGATCCGTTGCCTAGCAACAGACGTCTTATTTTTGCGAGCTTTGGCTCCCACGGGAAAGAATTTACCGAGACGTTGCTTAGCAATGGGCCCATACGCCACAATATTATCCTCCAACCTATATTTTGGTTGTCTTGGTGGTCTCTATAATTCTGTCTTCCCCACAAAAACCTCATATGCATTCCTCTTCTTCCCTATGCATGCTACATGCTCACCCCATCCTCCTTAAATTCATCATTCGAATTATATCAGGTAACATCCGTATTACTGATTATCCAAACACCGTCTGGCACTATCGACCAAACTACACGATGTCACATGCCAGGGCACTGCCAGGGCACTGCCAGGGCACTGCCAGTTTCTACAGACAGGATTCTGCCACGTCACTTCTTGACAGGGACATAAGTGCAAGTTAGTGTGTATGGAAGTATCGAGGTTATGAGGAAACCGAACTTCGAACTCACACACTTGAGAGTAGGCAGTCAACTGAACAGAGACAGAGTTATCAGGCTGAAATTATCGCTTATAATGAGACCAGATAATTACCTCGGAAGTAATTATTGCAGGGATAAATGTGAAGGCTCTTCGACGACAAGACACGAAGTATAGTTTCAAAATTTAGGTGTTGCAACTTATGCTCTCCTCTATTCTGTACAAGTCTCTACGTACTGTTAATCTGCTAAATTGCTAACATTACATTTTATGTGTGTACTCTAAGAATTCCGAGCAAAACTGTAACATCACAAAACATTG